ACTAATTACAATAACCAAGCGGATTATCTTAAACTATTATATAAAGCGGTAGAGTTTATTTATTTTTGTTTGTTTGTTTTTTTGAACGCGCTAATCTCCGTAACTACAAGTCTGATTTGAATAATTCTATTTTGTGTTAGATAGCGCATTTATCAAGGATGGCTATGGGCTATAAAACATCACGCTACGACCTATAGGAGCTTAGCGGAGCGTGTGAAACCGCGCGGAAGTAGCTAGTTCCCTAATAAACACACAAAAAAACTACCTAATTCACATAAGGACCTGACCATATTTTAGTTAGATTGTATAGTATTACAACAATGATCAAATAAGATTACAACACAAGCATGGCATTGTGCTGGATGTAATACGTAAAACTATTCGCAATTTTACTGTCGATCAATCATGAGTTAGACGACTCAATTTTATTCTCCATCAATCATAAGTGTAAGAGTTTGGCGGCTCATTGCTATACATAATTTACTAATAACTCTTAAACATCGCAGTCTTTGTTGTATGGTTAACCCTATTATTTTTTCGATCTTTTGCTGTTTATGCCGATATTTTAATAACTATGAGTGCCCCTAAAAACTAAACGCTCTATACCACCAACTCTTTAAAAACACCTAGTTTAGCAATTTACACAATTTACTCAAATACCTTTTCGTCATTTCAAGTAATTTACGAATTTTATTATAAAACTTCGGGACTCATAATTTTTAAATAGTTGTCATTCGTTGAATCTATTCCCAGGCGAGTAGTATATGAACTGACTGCAAATCAAATGAATATTGGGACCTACTATTGCGAATTTAGAAATTCAAAAGTCCCACCCAACCAAACACGGCTTCGAACCAAACCATATCATCGCGACAGTTCTATGTATGCACCTATATCCGAATTTATTATACCTACCTAACTCGAATCCAAGTAACACCCAATTTTAGTACAGCGCCATCTATCGATCACTATGCAAAGAGTAAATATGAACGAGATTTTATACATCTATGTTTGTATAGTAAAATGAAGATGTTACAGATGACTCGAAGACATTATCTCACAAGATTAATGTCTAAAGAAATCCTCTACAAGCAATAGTTACAAAAATACATTATAGTTTTATTTGAATCCCGTAATTGTAACCAAAATTAGACTTTTATTATTGAACATATTTGTGCCAATTTAAGACTTCTATAAGTACATTTACTAACAGCTAATATACTAATAAAATTTAATTTCACAATACAAACTAAGTCTTAACAGTAATTTTGTCCAATAAATAAAGCACCACAAAAATTATTTTTGAAAAAAATGAAAATGTCTGCTCTAGTAGGTATCTATGATAGGTTTAGCAGTTACATGTATATAAGCATAATAAGCACTGCAGTCATTTTTGTTTGTAATCAATCTTTCATCTATCTATTCAAAGGTTAAGGTCAACAATCAATACAGAGACAGTTTACTTCATAATTACTTATAAGACATGATTATTTCGAAAACATAAACTAAATAATAATTTGAGAAAGTTCTTCCTAAACTTTTTACTTTACTTCCTTTCAAGTATATTAAATAAGATGTTCTATCAAGCCAAATGATTGGCTTAAACCATTCAGGACAATATCTAAATCACTGGAGAAACTCTGTTTTTACTTTTGGATCTTTCTCTCAAGCATAATAAATGGTTGCTAATACCAAACATCATGGCAAGCACATTCTAACATTGACATGAACTCTTATTATTAAGGCTAATTCAAGGGTCATTTACTGTTTTTTAGAATTAACCCCAACCTTTTTAATTGATTATTAGATATGTCAACATGTAGGAAATATTGTTCTGCTGAGGGAGCTGAGATAAATATGTACCAGCAAATGAAGGCAAGATGCAAAAGGGAAATGGATGGACTAGAGTGTATTCTTACATACATACAACACGATTATTTCTAATCATATATACTTTTTCACATTACTATTTATAAGAAGGAAGATGGTTCATCTAAATAGATATAATATAAACATACCAATACAACATCCATGCTAGTGCTATGCTATGAATTAAGAAGATGTGAAAATACAGATCCATACCATTTTTATAATCTCTGGGTAAACAGGTTCAGTTAGCACTCCACGTCCTGCAGTGATGTATTCTACAAGCTCATTGAGGGTGGCACGTTTTATCTCTTTTCCCTTCAGATCAGCAACAGGATCCATAAAATCAAATGCTACACAGCATTGTCGCAGCTTGCGGATAAATAACTCTTCCTGCTCACTGCTTGGAACATCTGAAAACAATTTTATCACAATGAGCATTTCATTATGTATATTTCAATTAGTATAGCAAGGATAATGTGCAAATGTCTATTTTGTCCATCATTTTCCCATAGCAATGATTAAAGTAGATGGGTAATTACAATACATAAACTGAAATAGATTTTGACGAATGTGTCTAATATTATTACAAATTTAATTTAATTTTTTAAATTAAATTATTGTGATTGCCAACTTAAAAGTACAAAAAAGCCTCTGTTCATAGTATACTGATATTAAGTATAGAAGATATTCTGAAAACATGCTAATTATTCAGTTCATTTGTTAATGAGTATTCATATTTCTTATCTAGCTTTTTATTTCTTATTGGATTGGATATCAATAGCAATGATTGAAGTAATGATCTTATCTCAATTGTAACTAAGTAGGTGGGCAATTACTCTCCATTTTAGAACATTTTGTTAGTTTGGATTTCAACTTAGTTGAGTGTCTAGCCAACCTTATAGACCAATCACTTAGTTACCCCAAAAATACAAGAACTATAGTTTAATCCATGTGAATACAATAAATCAAGTTACAAGATGCCTAAGAATTTTGTTGTTATGGTAAATAACTAGTTAAATACAACCTAAAATGACTTAGTTTGCAATGTCAGTACTTCTTATAAGGTTTAAGACAACTTTATTTTGAGGATCAAGTCCTATTCAAATAAATGCATTAGTAAACAGAAGAGATCTATAAACAAATCTAAAGTAAGTTTAATATTCAGATATATGTAATTTAGAAGTAATAACACTAAATATAAATTGCTGACTCTGAATGGTGTTACTCATATGAAGCACATCAAACTGAATGTTACAGTAGTAGTAGTATGAAACTAATAACACTCCAACCTTAATCTTCAAATATTATAGGTGTTTGTTTCTATTTATATAGACTGTATCCCAGTCAACATCCTTTTTATGTAAACAAGGTTTTATTCCTAACCTATTTGCATAATTTAAACAAAATTCAAGGCAAAAGTTCAATGGACTAACAAAATTAAAATAAAATAAAATATTGAATCAAAAGGTTGCATTAACAACATAAATATTACAATAAAACTGCAAATAGCGCGAGTGATTCATTATAAATCGGGACAAAATAAATGGTACGCACCTTTGAGCAAAGGCAGTGCCTGCAGCTCTACATCTTGCGTGTTCCGATACCGAGAAGAACCCTGAGACTTCTTCGTCTTTTTCTTCATCGACCGCTTGGCGAAAGGGTCAATTCTGTCCACAAATGTTCCCGAAGACATTTTGGTAATATAAAAGTGTCCCAAATGACGATAGGTAGACGGCAATCAATGCGAAAATTGTTTTGTTTCAAGTAGAGTCATGATCTGGCCCAGTCCACGAGTCGAACGCGCACTTTCCGTAGGATGCACAATATTAGAGCCTAAACAAACAATTCTTCGTCACACATGACGGTAATGGAGTGGTCACACTCAGGCCATTCTTTAAACACTTCAAGATTCCACAACAGTTACGTAATTTAAATCCGTCTCTATCACTAAAATGACACAAATACAGAAAAGAATAATTCGATTCACAAATTTAGATTTATTTTCTGAGGCGTGTCACGAATAGCAGAAGGCAGAAGTCGCATATACATACAAGCCTCGTGTAATATCAGCCGGTCAGTCAATGACAATTTATTTTCTACAATAATCGTAAGAGATTTTTTAAGATTTGCTCGTAATAACGCGTAAAACAGCGACTCAAAACGGTTATCGTCTTTCCTGGACGTAATCGGAAACTATAGCGGTGATGACACGGAGCAAAACTTAACACCAAAAATCTATCACCGTATTCTCGCCATCGCTCACCATCAGTTTCGATTCTAAAACTGGGCGCATTTTAACGCTATACACAAGATTATTTTAAGATGTTGCACTTTCACAAGACTAATCCAACGTATATGCGACTTTTTTCACAACGAGAAGCGATCAATTTACAAAATTTGTAACTAAAAGATTAACATCACTGGTTTGCTGCGAAAACGCTACACTCATACAAAAGTACCTTCTTCTGAAAATAGATGGAGATAGAAAATGTTCAGTTAATCAGTCTGCATACTTTTTATTGAGTTTTAGACTTTTTTCAAAATAAAATGTATATTTAATAAATAAAATGATGCAATAATATACAAAAAGGTGAATTTCAAAGAAATTTTATAATTGTTCCTTTTTACTATAAAAAGATTCTAAAATGTTTATACGTGTTCCGGTTGTAAAACGGAGCTAAGTACAGATTATTAAAAATGAAGTATAGACTATAGACCAATAAAGACGGATTCCTAATAAAATTATTGACTTCGTCACCGTAATATTTTTGTTAAAATGATGGCTGATTTTTATAAGTTAGTGAACATCTTTAATTATTAAATCTCGTGAACAACTTTTATAGTTGCATTATTAGAACTTACAATAACGTTTTTTAAAAAAATGATAAACTTGTTTCAAATAAAGTGTAGAATGACCCTTCACCTATACATAAAAATAGTGGGATACAAAACATAATAAATGGTTTGTGACAAAATAATTCAATGCCCTTCGATAATTTATTATTTAATATTTATTTATGGGCATGGTATACAAATCCACCCACATATTTCAAAGTCTTGCGTACGTGATATATCTACTCCATCAATACTTGATTTTCTTCAGCTCTATACTGAACGACATTCTCTTTTAAATTCTATGTTCTCTATGGTATATTATTCAGCTTTGGAGGAAAGTAGCTTTCTAAAGATTTTCCTTCGTTATTACGTACGCGTATTGGTTTATTTATATTATTTGAGTTTTAGTTTACGTATCAGAAATAGTTATATATTGTGTGTGTTGTGAAATATAAAAACTATTAGTTCCTGTGAACTGTTGGAAAAGGGTAATTAATTTAGAAAGCAACATGGAAGCGCTGACAGTTCCGCCATGAATGCAAAATAAATAGAAATTGTGAAGGTAAGAAATTCATGTATATATTTATTGTTTTACTTTATAACATCTGTTATAAGAGTTCACTATTTAATAACATACTATAGTGTACCTTTATATTATTAAAATAACGCCTCAATCTTACTTATATGTCACGTCGAAAGTCTCCCGCATTAGTTGATTCTTGAATGTTCATTGGAGTTAACGATTTTATTTAAGTTTACAGTGAAATCAGATTAGAAAACGATTTTTTTTTACAAATGAAACAGAAAATGATAGAAGTCAGTATAAACTACCATTCGGTTCTCTTACGCCTACAAATATTTTTTCAGAAGCTGGACGTCACTTGAACAGGTCAGAAACTTCACGATGTTGAGAGGTGGGCGTGGAGGCCGTCACAGTCCGGAGCTGTACCCCCACACGCTGAAGTGCTCCAACGCCAGTGACACCAGTTCTGCTTACAGTGGAAGTGACACAATGACCTCAGTACATAGCTCTCTGGACATGGATATGGAGGTGGATCTTTCTGGTCTCCTTGAGTCTATTGTTGACTCTGATGAGGAAGAAGATTTGGAAGAAAGTATGGACAGCTTGACAGTCCGAGATGCAGTTCGAGAATGTCTTGAAAAGGATCCAAGTGAACGAACGGATGAAGATATAGAAATACTTTTGGAATTTACTCAACATTTGAAAGCATTCACTAACATGACTTTAACAGTGCGTCGGGCTCTGTGTGCTGTCATGGTATTTGCTGTGGTTGAAAAAGCTGGAACAGTGGTCATGAATGATGGAGAGGAACACGACTCATGGTCTGTCCTCATCAATGGCCATGTTAGTATTGAACACCAGAGTGGTGAAGTGGAGCACTTGAATGTTGGTGATAGCTTTGGAATGGCTGAAGCTACACTTGAGAAATTGTATCATAAAGGTGTAATGACTACAAAATGTGATGACTGTCAGTTTGTTTGCATTACTCAAACTGACTATTATCGAATACTACACCAAGGTGAAGAAAATATCAGAAGACATGAAAATGAAAATGGTGTAGTAGTATTGGTTACTGAATATAGAGGTGTAGCTGGAGAGTCAGGACGACAACAGGGCCATGTTGTTATTCGTGGAACTCCAGAACAATTGATGCTGCAGCTCATTGAGGATAACTCACGAGATTCTACATATGTTGAAGATTTCCTTTTGACACACAGAACATTCATTGAGAGTCCTTTAGTTGTAGCAAAACAACTATTAGCTTGGTTCTCTGAGCCGACAGTACGAGACAAAGTTACCCGTGTTGTGTTGCTTTGGGTCAACAATCATTTTACTGATTTTGAAACTGATTCAACTATGATGGAGTTTCTTGAAAACTTTGAGATTGCATTGGAACATGAAAAGATGGAGAGTCAATTAAGGCTGCTAAACATAGCTTGTTCTGCTAAAGCTAGAACAAGGAGTGTTACATTATCTCGTCCAACAAGAGATGAGCCATTGAACTTCACAATATTTGGTGGATATGAGAGAGGTTATGGAATATTTATATTTAAAGTGGAAAAGCATTCAAAGGCTGAAGATGTTGGATTAAAAAGAGGTGATCAAGTATTAGAAGTAAATGGACAATCTTTTCAGCATGTGAGCCATGCTAAAGCAATGGAAATAATTACTGGGTCAACACATTTAAGCATCACAGTAAAAAGTAATTTGTTAGCTTTCAAGCAAATTTTATTAAAGCCAGAAAATTCACCAAGGCAGAGAGGGGGTTCCAATAGAGTTCATTGGCACACTGACCCTAGGGCCAGGCTATCAACTGCAGAGCTACTCAATGATGATCCCATTACATTAACACCAGTATTTCAATCTCCCACCAAAAAACCTCAGCAGCTGAGCATTAAGAAAGAACCTCAGAAAGGTTTCATGACATTGGGACCTAAAAGAAAATTTCAAAAAGCTTTAATGAAAATTCTTCCTAAAACTACAATTATTGATGGCTTACCCACTGATGACAGTATTCTTTCAAACTCGGAGTCTTTAAACAAAGCCAATACTAGTACTTCTTTCTATAACTCCCATAGTAATCCTGATTTAATATCAATATGTTATGATGAATATCAATCGTCTGACTATCCAGAGCATGTACTCAAGGTATATAAAGCTGACCAAACTTGCAAATATTTGCTAGTGCATAAAGAGACTACAGCAAGAGAAGTTGTTATGTTGACTTTGCAAGAATTTGGTATCACTGATCCTAGCTCCAAATATTCACTGTGTGAAGTGTCTGTTGCCCAAGGTGGTATTATAAAACAACATCGTTTACCAGATCAGTTGCAGAATCTTGCAGAAAGAATTGGTCTAAGTTCTAGGTATTATCTAAAAACTAATGGAATATCTGAGAACTTAGTACCTGATGACATGGCACCAGAACTTTTAAGGGAAAGTGTTGTTCACTTTCTACAATTAAATGCTGTTGAAGTTGCAGTGCAACTAACATTACAAGATTTTTGTATTTTTCGCCAAATTGAGAGTACCGAGTATGTTGATGATCTATTCGAATTGAAAAGTAGGTATGGCACGCCTATGTTGTCACAATTTGCGGAACTTGTCAATAAAGAAATGTTTTGGGTTGTCACTGAAGTTGTTAATGAACAGACACTTGCGCGTCGACAAAAAATAATTAAACAGTTTATTAAAGTTGCACGTCATTGTAAAGAGTGCAAAAACTTTAATTCTATGTTCGCAATAATATCGGGTTTGGGTCACGGTGCAGTGTCCAGATTAAGGATGACTTGGGAGAAACTACCAACGAAGTATTTAAAATTATTTAATGATCTGCAAATGCTAATGGATCCTTCAAGGAATATGTCGAAGTATCGACAGTTGGTTACTACTGAGCAGGGCAGATCGCCTGTTATTCCATTTTATCCAGTGGTTAAAAAAGATCTTACCTTTATACATTTGGGAAATGACACAAAAGTTGAAGGTATGGTTAATTTTGAAAAACTGCGAATGATTGCTAAAGAAGTTCGCACACTCACGAACATGTGTAGTGCTCCATATGACCTCCTTACGTTACTCGAGTTAGGTAAGCAGCCACCCTCAAATGCCATGGTTGCATTGAATCAACTTACTACTGGAAGTGTACAACAAGGTCAAGTTACTGTGAAAAGAAGGAAAAAGTCTTCGAATGTACCAAATCCGAAAAAGATGTTTGAAGAAGCGCAAATGGTTCGACGTGTAAAAGCGTATCTAAATAGAATGCATGTTGAAACTGATGAAGAAAGACTTCACGCATTGTCTTTGGAATGCGAAGGAGCAGGGCCAGCCCCGGCCATCCCACGACGACGACATCCATCACCGTCTTTGTCAACGACTAGCAGTGCTTCATCAGCTAGTGAGAGCAAAAAGAGCTTTGCTGGTAATAAGTTTGGTACTGCATCACCACAGGCAGTGAGAAAGCTCTTGGCTTTATCAGAACCAGCCAAGACACGACCACATCAACCTCGGCCGCCACCACCTGGACCTTCGCCTTGTTCACATCGACGCGATGGTCCTGGTCCTGGTATTTGTTGTCCACGGACAGCTCATGAGAGATCCCACTCTGATACCCCTACGCCACTACCAGTCGACCTATCGGCTGAAAGTAGTAGTGTTACATCATTAGTTAACTTGCCACTACGAAAAACTGGGTCTGCGACTTCGAGCGACAGTGGGCACGGCTCGTGTACCGCAGCGAGTTGCGCACGGCCCGTACCGCCTCCGCGCATGCCGCAGGCTCCATATAACTTGGCTGCTCAAGTGGCACGCCTCGAGCGACTCAGTAGGGCGCATTCTCACGAAGGCGTCACACGCCCTTATGATTATTATGCGCCTGATGATGACGATGACGATCAACAAGTATCAGCTGTTTAAACATGCGATACTTGTTGATCGTCATCGTCATAGGGTTAAACATTTTAATACTCTAACTCAATGTCTATTTATATAGTTCCCTCATTCCCTATTTTGTAATCTCACATAATAAATAGAAAGCACGAGTTATGTGAAAACGTTTAATATATTATTAAAATCATGTATGTACCCTTTACAACTAAGTCTAAAGACTGTATAATTATTTTAAGAAATGTGCTAGTGTTATGTAAAATTCCATATTATAAGATCCTAATTATTAATTACAATCATTTGACCCACCAGTTTCCAGTTTTATCTAGAGAAGTGTGATGTATACCAATACTAGGTGTACTATTTATTATAATGTTGGTATATCTACATTCCGTTATTTGTATATTATTAAAATAATAGTTTTCTTTATTTATAATTGTGAAACTTAGACCAAATAATAATTAATGTACCTTTTAACATTTATAATTGAGAATAATTTTGTTGTAGTATGTATTTTGTGGTAGCTTTGTGGACCAATTGGGTTTGAATGTGGTTTCTCATGGTCGTATCAAATTCTGTCAATATCATGATTTTTAATTATTATTATTATGTGTAATTGTAAATAATAAAAATATATTAATTAAACTCTTTTTATTTGTTTTATTCGTAACAAAACAGTAAAACATAATTGTGTAATATTTACGTAAGTCAACTGCCCGATTGACTAAACTGTGCTAGATAGTCCAATTCCAACGGATGTAAATTGGGAGCGGGAATGACGAGACTATGTAGCGGCGGGCCGAGGTCAAAGCTTTGCATCGAGTCGAGTGTCATTACGGCTATTCGCTGATCGCTGGCTCCTACTCGTGAGAGCCCGATTGCCGTACTGCTTTTATTTATACCTGTTTAACGCAAGAAAAAAATACCAATTAGAAGGGTAGGTAAATATGACTTTCTGTCGAATGTAGAAATAATGCCAATTTTGTTCCAATACCGAATAATTATAATTTTACAAGAAAACTGCCATCATAGTCTACATTATGATAATAATAAGTCTAATATTGATTACTAGCTAATTTACCTACATTACGATGAAATTTTCCCGTTTCCTAAACTTCTCTACAAGCGTCATTTAAACCGGAAATTAATAGTAATCTGTTATTATTTTATTACGAGATTACGATTATTAAGTACGAGGCTTACAAATCCCAGGCGTTTTAGCCTCGAAGGCATCTCAAAGAATTTATGTTTTCTCAGTTGTGAGAACCTCTCTTTTGACACCTCTTTTAATCAAAATAAAGAAATATACAACCACGTTTATTCTTAATGGCAATTAGCACTAGGCACAGTAATTCCTGATAGGGGCGCAAATGATCCATAGGAGTTCCCCTATGGCGTTCTCTCTCTTCGCCAGTTATTAGTCCCACGGGAGGGACAACCTTTTGCCATACTTCATTAATTCTAGTTAGGTGTCATGATTTATTGTAACGTGTACTTCTTTATTTTGAATAAATGATTTAATAATAATAATAAAAAAAAACGATTAAATAGGTACTGAGAATTAACAAAACACTGAAAGTACACAATAATTGTCTACCCAGAAATGTAATTGAAAACTGTTTGCAGCAACTAACCAACAAAGTAGGTACGTAGTTATTAATAAAGTCTTAACTACAAAATATACCTTTGTCTGGATTGTTTTCGATGATCTGCACTAATTGATTTGCTGCTTCCTTTACAGACATGAATTTCGGATCCATATACTGGCGAACCTTCTTTGTGAGAGAATCTTCAGTAGGTTCTTTTACTTTGATATCTGCAAATATAAAATCAACATCTCAAATAAAAATATGTAAACATTAGACTACTCGCACACATTCTCAGAATTCTTAGAAATTGATTGTGTTCAGTCCAAATTCTTATTAGATACTAGCTGACCCGGCAAACTTCATACGAACTTCATACTTCACGAACATTTCAAGACTAAAATTAGCCTAGTCGGTTCAGCGATACTTGAATTTTAGCGAGATTATCGAACGAAAGATCCATTTTCATTTATATAGATAATAACTACCGACCCACCCACCCAGGCTTCGCATGGATATTAGTCTCTCGCAACTATGTGTGTTATGCATGCATGTATTACACATAATTATATTCCTTCTTGAAATGAAATGAAATTTATTCGTAAACATAGGATATCTAAAGTTGCTTGAATGATTGACATACAGTGCAATATAGCGAGTCTGTCTATGTTTCGCTTTGAAGCATACAACTTCATATAAGTATTAGTAAGTAGATTTATATAAATTCAGAAAATAAAAATACAATAATAGTCATAAGTATCTACATCGGAACAAACATTTATAATGGAAGTTAAACCACACCGTTACAATCAGTCATATGCATGAGCTTTAGTCCCTAATGCGGAATGTCATTTAATTAAGGAATTAGTCTATCAGTTAAGAAACTGCACCACAACCTGTTTGGTAATTTTAGAGATCTAAGTATACAAATAATTTTGTTTTATACTATGTAGTGATAACAGGAAACTTGCCTAACAAACATAGAGTGTGCAAATTCCTTGAAAAATTTCCCACAATTTTGTCAAAAAAGCTGTCGGGCTTCCATTTGTCCGTCCAGTATGGTATTGAAACAGTTTCACCAAAATTGTACAACTGTAGACCACAGCAGCTTACAGCATTCATGATTGAGGCATTGTGAACAATCTGAAAATAAATTTATTTATATTTTTTAATGTTGCCTTAAATTAGGATTCTATGTCATGAGTGTGTTTACAAAGAGAATAATTGCATTCTAGACTTTAATTTAATTTTGAAGATATAATTATTATAACATTATTTTACCTGAAGGATAAAATTTAGAGAATGCCACTAGGCATTAAGTCCGCCATTGTATACAATTGCAAGAAGTGTAAATAAATAAATAAAAAAAAATATAATAATTATTGCCATTAATTTATTGAAAGTTTTAATTATAAGTTCTATATATTTATAATATTCATTAAAAAACAATAACATACCTGAGTTTTTACTCCAAACTGCTTAGCTCGTAGCAGCATGTCAGTGTGCGTAGTAGCCCCCAATGGATCACCAACAACTAACAATGCAACTTCTGAGTCCTTAGCTTCAAGTAAAATCTCATCTATTGCACCTTCACACAGTTCCCGGTCTGCTATTATTAAAGGTCGGCCATAATATTCTTCCTAAAATATAGACAAAGTTGTTTAGCATTTTCATTTCAGGTTAATATCATCATTATTTATCGTCATATATAATAATTATTGATTAGAAACTATAGTTTATAAAAATAAAATAAAGTTTTGAAAAGCTTTTTGTAAATGTTTTATTTTATTTTCTAAATTTTGTTATAGCAACTAAATAGCTATTACAACAAATACTATGTGCTTATGATACCTAACTTAATTATTTAGCACACTTACCAACACTTCTTTTCCAACAGTGAGTATTGAAGTATAACCTTCCAATAAGACTTTGTCACATTTTCTTACTATTTCTAAACCTTTTACAGTTATGTCTTTTGCATCACCTAAGCCTAGACCTATTAAGTAAAACATATTATACTTAGTTAATCATAAGAAAACATAAAACTTGACTTTAACAAGTAATATCACCATGCAGTTCCTGAATTTTTAAAAAATGACAGATCACAGATGACGGAAACAAATTACCAAACGGTAGTGACAAGTGAAAGGTAGAGTAGAGGTACGACTGAAAATTTCTTATTAACTACCAAGTTTATTTTATTCCCGAGGAGAATCGGTTTCAAAACCTCCAATTACTTTAAGGTCAAAAGATATCACCTGCTTCTGTCAATTCAAAATAATACAAAATACAATACATACAATGGTATTTACAATTAGTCCACTTTATGAAAATATTAGGCTATGCATTGCATGAGTTGCATAGATTTATAAATATAACATGAGTTGGCTTGGCATGTTTCCTACCAAAAATATTTTTTTACAAAATTTAACCTTTTTTACAATGGTAACACTGCTTGAAACAAATCAAGCTGCTGATTTGTTTTACTATTTATATTTATGTGTATAAAAAATATAGAAAATCTATGAGATGCATTTTAAAAACGATATCGATAGAGTATTATATTGATTTGATTGACAGACTTATGAACTGTTGACCATGATATCAAGAAAAGGACAAAAGGCTGTTAATGAAGGTGTGGTTGGAAAATACATAAAGAAAGATACACCTCCAGATTTACCTAGTAAGTCGTCCTGGATGTAAAAATATTAGATAATTTAAGATTATTTTATCACACAGCTTCTCTCAAACATAAGTACCATAATATTTTATATCGTACTTTTTTACATACTAATAATAACTGTACTATCTAATTATTTCTCACTAGTTATAAATGTATGGACTACTGGACACAACAAAAGACCCCGAAGCCAGCCGTTTGGTACGAGTGATCCTGTATCACAGAGCCATGAAAATAAATTTGGCAAAGCACAAACTATGAGTGGACATGCTGGCAAATATACACCAAGTGAGTCAGTACCAAATTTAGCACACAGGTAAGTTAATATCAAAACAATATTATTAATAAAAATTTATAGCAATATGTATGAAATATTATTCCAGATTTTATACACATTAAAATTTGTTGCACATAATCCTATAAGTAACACTTTCTTGAACTTTGTTTTTGATCTGATAAGACTTCATGTTTTTATATAATATATGGAATATTCCACTGTCTTTTCTTCAATAGTTCTTGCTATCCTATAACAATTTATCTGATTAGTATTAAATAAGTATTTCTTGCAGGTTTGCCAGTTTATCTACTAGTGATACAGCAAGTACATCAAACAGCTACAATTCACAATATCTCTTGGATTCAAATGTGGTAATAAATATTTCTTTTAGAAATATAATTTAAAGAAAAATCACTTCTATTTATTATAACATGTATTTGTTTATGTTGTAGGCTTCACAGGCTTCTCATACAACTTTGAATGATAGAGATGACTCATATTTGGCACTGAGTAGACAAACAAGCTACAGATACTATAGACAGCCACAACAAGAGGATCCCATTTATCAGAATCAACAACAGGTTTTTCCTTATTTTGATTATTAATTGCAGTTTTTGTAAACTTCATAGCAAATAAGAAATCTAATAATTATATGCAATACATATCTCTCTAAACAATTAAATTAAAAACGTCTATAATTAAAGAAAAAAAATTGTTTTGGTTTGACTAAATCTATTATTATAATGGTATGGTTTAATATTGTTTATACAACTTACTTTTTCTGGTGTTCCTAGGTTCAACAGCAGAAACAGCAACAGTATGGATCACGGGAATCTAGCATTCCAAGACTGTCTTCCAACTTAAGTTTAACACCAAGACTGCACTCTCCATCACCACATACACTTCATCTTCAGAATTACACGGACTGTAAGTTTCTATGCCTTTTACAGATACATTAAATTAACAGTGAATTGAATTATCGCTGTTGTGAATATTACATAATATGTATTACATTTTTTAACAATGTTATCTCACCCTGTTGTTAATTTGTTATCCAAACACATTTTTTTTTCTATTCTAGCATATGCCTCATCAAGCCAGTCTTCACCAATATACTCAAATTGCATGAATACATCAGTTCTTCCATACAACAAGGCTCATGGGAGTAAAATTATCACAAGCTCGCAAGGTATGTCCACAGATTATTACTTAGAGAAAAAGAGCCAAAGTATAACAATAATAAAAATAACATTTTAAAAACTAGGATCTGATGAGTGTGAGCTTCCTCTTCCTCCTGGATGGTCAGCAGACCGAACTCTTCGTGGGCGCCGTTATTACATGGACCACAACACCCAGACAACTCATTGGACTCACCCATTAGAAAGTGTGCCTCAACCTTGGCAAAGAGTCTCTACACCTCACCATGGAGTTTATTATTTCAAGTAAGTTGTCTTATCCACTTACATTATAAAATAAACATAATAAAAATGTACATATGTACACTAGTTTCCTATTATACTAAATCTTATAAGACTTCCTTTCATATATGATTACCATGGTAACATTATAGGGAATTCCTGTTGCTTATAACATGTATCTCTATGTTTGGTTACAGTGAAATCACTCATCAGACAACATATGCCCATCCATGCCTAGTTGGTGGCTGTTATTTAGTCAGTCCTTATGTTCCTACTCTTGTGCCACCATATTTACTTGAAGAAATACCTCACTGGCTCATTGTATATTCTAAAGGTAAGTAGAATGTAAATTTAACAATATTATTTCATCATTTAAATTACTATAAAGGTTGGTATTGGTATGCATAACTTGAGATTGGGAATGTTGAACCTAATGTTGTGGAATTTATGAAGTAATTATTGACTAGGTGCTCAATATACATATAGCAGGTATTTTTCAAGTTGGTTTATAATAATCACTAATTCTGTTACAGCTGATCAAGAACTGGACCACAAGTTACGCTGGAACATGTTCAGACTGAGTGAACTGGACTGCTATTCTGATATGCTGACACGGTTGTACAAGCAAGAGTTACAACTCATTGTTATGAAGTTTGAGCGTTACAGGTATATATAATACATAATAAGTATAGTTAGTCATCCAAAGAAATGTTAGCACCTTGACCTATGCAACATAAACTTGGTATTTTATAAGTCTCAAAATAAAGGAATCACCATAAGATCTTCTAAGTAATACATAAAAAGTTTGGATGCTGATATCTTTTATTTTTTCCTTATGAAATAGATTTTATGAATAATCAATAATATAAATATTTTAGTTTATACACTTAAAACTTATTATAAACAATTTTTTAGTCCCAACAAGATTCATTTTACAAGTTACTATTTTTGTTATGAATACCTTTCTTTTCTTATAACGACATAATTTAATTCATGTATTATCGTAATATTACAAAACCTCCCTGTTAGATCTCCAAATTAATATGTATTTTCCTATTACAGATCTGCACTCTTACAAGAAATAGAAAGGCGACGACACGCTGCTATCACATACCACGGACACTCCAACTGCTGATGTGTATTGTGCATCAAGTTTACCTACTCTACTGTGATGTTATAAAAACATTATTTTAGATATATAACTTTTATATGTAAGGATACTTGAGTCAAACCTGGAGAAGGATTCACTGGTATAGTAAGATACAAAGAGGTAATAAATACAAATGTACATACACAATAAAAAAGGTAATGGATCATTGTGAAATTTTGCACAGGTTTAAAATTGATAGTAACCCAAATATCTTGACATGAGTTGCACACTTAATTGAAACATGCAACACATGTGTAAACTTTGCGAATATTGCCATTCAAAAGTATGTATAGCCGTTGTCATTAGCTAGAAATCTATACACCAGATATATAATATAATAATATATAATCTATACACAGAAATATAATTTTTATATTCTTAAAAAATAATACCTGTAAATCAAGTTTTTTTAAATATTCAAGTATAACTATTATGCCTTCACTTTAACTAAGAATAAGAAATAATTTGAAATAATAAATATATTTCTATACATGTTTTATACAAATATTGACTATTGCTGTTGTTAAACAACTTTAACGAGTAAATTTTTTGAAATGAAATTGTATATAAGTAGTAATCTATTGAAATTGGTGCCTTATTTTCAAAATAAAATATTTAACTATTGGTATGACTTTTTATTGCTAATAAATATACTTATGTAACTAATATTTTTAGAAGTAAGGTCAATCTTTTAGTGTCTCTTCATTTTCACTATTAACTTCTTTATCCATAAATACAGCTTCTCCATCTACAATTTCATATTCATCAACCTTCTTGAAACCGGCTATCCTGTAGACTTTGGCATTTTTTATTCCTAATGTATTAGCCCATGCCGCACCTGAAATTATTAAACATTGATACTCTTATATTTAAAGATATTGTTGACGGAAATTGGAGTTTGAGTATCTCTAGGGACTGGAATTATTATTATAATATGGGAACTTAGCCTAAATTTCTAGAGTTGACATGGTGTTGGGGATATTTCTTGTCTAGAACTCTTAGAATACTTTCAGACAACTTGTCCATAGATTTTAACAGACAAAAACTGACATACCTGGCGGAGTTGAATGCTCTTCATCAGATTTTATACCATAATAATGAGCCCAATCAGCTTTTCCTTTGTAAACATTGTAAACTACTAATCCAAATGCATTCCAAGCTACTAAGCCATAAGCTATACTGAGCCGTCTTTTCCATAATACAGCTGTTTCTTCTGGTATGGGTTTTGTTCTCTTGCGAACAAAACGGTGCCACCACTTGTAGATCATTCTTAAAATTTTAGTTGTTGTGTAACATTCCCTAAAATTTGGATTTGGATTGGAGGTTATAATCCGATCCCAAATAAATAATGGGGATACCATACTATGGTATACATATTTTACTTTTTTATTAGTTCGGAAGCATTCGGATGATTATGAGTGTACCCTAATAATAATTTATAAAAGAACGTAAAAAGAAAAATATAACGACACAGACACTGCTTAGAATAAGATTCTCAACTTATTTAATTATTTATACATTTTTTTTGGCTACTTTTTCTTACTTACTAAAAAAGTTAATAAATCACTTTTTTAGTTTTAGTAAATTTTGAGTTGCATACACTGTTTTAAAATTTTAAAGAACAAATCGATTTAAATCATAGATATATAACATACTCTTATCATATCAGTGCACTGTATCAGTGATTTCAATTCATCGCAGCATTATATAAAAGAATAATTTTTTAAATCTCTGCATTTTGACAGATAGGTTGTACAAAGTTAAGTTTGAAAAATAAGGTGTGGTCAGAAGAGAGGTAAATTTAAAAATAAGTGTTAGTACAAACGTAGTTACGTACGTAGCAATATGTGCGATAACAATTATTTCAATATTTTGACGTTAACTTACCGAGGGGGGTAAGAGAATAGTGCCTAACTTAATAATTATAATTACAATAACTTTTCATTGAATAAGTTGTAAACAACTAGGTACTAATAGATACCAAACCTTGTTCTTACTCATGGCAAATTGAGATTGTAGAAATATCTAATAATTTCAACACAACACCATGGCACCTAGATTCGGAAGATGTGGGTACTAGCACAGAACACTACCAATGGGTACTGGGTAGTCGTCGAACTATCCAAAAGTTACTTTAATCAAAACTTATTATGAAGTATAAAGAATGTTGATGTCCAAACTTTTTAGGTCCATGCTTGCTTCTTAATAATTATAAACAAGCTGCATGAGAGCCAAAGAGTATAATAAGTTTAAGGGATGCGAGCCCCACCAGTCGCAAAGACAAATGTTGTGATAGTTTAGACATTTTGAACATTTGTTTTTTCGACGTTTGATAATCATACAAAAAAATATGCTTTCATCTCGTGGTATTTCTAAAAATAAAAGGATCTATTGTCTGTAAGTGATTCCATAATTACATTTTCAAATAACATAAATATCGGTAGGTAAGTATGTAAATTAGTTTGTATTATAAATCTTCAGTTTTTAGGTACTTGCCTACTAATATAGAGACTACATTTTTACTTCCTAGACTAGTAATAGACTTAGTCAGTAAGAGTCTGACACTCCTTCCCGCCTCACCCAGGCGGGTACAGCCATTCGATGATTATCCCCCCCTTAAAAAAAAGACTATTAATAGACAAGACCCATTGTACGAAGTGGTGTAGATTTTAAATAACGCTTAGAGCCTATAGCAATAGGTACGTAGATACCTAGGTACTAGGTAGGTAGGTACATTTATACCTACTTACATAAAACTTCAATCAACTATGATTGTTGAATGATGATGATGAAGACTTAAAAAAACCAATGGCGTAGCGTGTCTTGACAGGGCTCCGTATAAAAGTTTGGGGGCGGGCCCTTGTAAATAAATATTTCTTACAAAAGAAATTTTTCTATTGCAAAAAAAAATAAAAATAATTGGTTCGAATACTGAAAATCTTTTCATCTAACTCCCTCTGTCCAAATTATCGGACTATGATTACTTTTAGTTTTCCTAAAGTTTCTACCGAAATAAAGCCGCAAGAAGCTTTACATAGAGAGGAGTGGAAGACGGGTAGGGACCCTTTGCCCTGCAGTGGGACGATCATGGCTGAAAATAAATAAATAAAGTTTCTACCAACCTTCGAACGCATGCTTAACGCGGAAATTTTTTTCTATTTAGACTTTTGTTATTACTGAAATAAAATAAAAATTGGGAAGTACCTAATTATTAATTTATTTTTTGCTTTAGCACATGATACGGTAGATACGGCGCTAGCTACACCCCTGCTTAGAAGTAGAACGTTATTTTAATCAGGGACTGAAAGCGGTTAAGGTATAACGGTACGGTACCGGTATAAAATAAGTGTACCGAAATTAAAGCTATACCGGTATTTAACCTTTATGCGATAACGGTACCGAAAAACTTAGATTTGACCGTTGCGAGACGTAAAGCTAGGAGTGTGCGGGGTGTGGTGCGAGGGGCCCCACTCCGAGGCGTGGAGCAGCGGCAAGCGAAAAACGCGCGCCTGTGTACCTGTTTATTCGTGTCACTGCTGCAACTAAACTACGCTACCGTTGTATGATTTGTGTGTACCGTACCTATCTAATAACTATATAATAGTCGTGTAACTATTAACTATGAGGCGGAAACGTAAAAATGCAGTATATGGATTGAGATATAAGTACTAATGAGTACATGCGTTTTTTTCATTTTCCAAGGAAAGTAATGTTTCTACATATTTAGTAACTGGATGCTTAGCTATAATAAAATAAGTATTGTACCCATTCATTGTAAACTTTGACCGGTCAGTGAGTATAGATGCAATATAGGTACTACTTATACAACCTATACCCTAAATGTAATTGGTAGGTATGTACATAATTATCTATCTTGTAGCTATAAGATACCTAACTATAACATTTATCTTATTATTCGGTACGTACCTATCTAAACTTTCGGATATCCTAGGTAGGTGTGTACCTAAGAACATCGTAATGTTTGTTTACTTATATTACATACCTACATAAAACCAGTCATTGGGTATCGTTCGTTAGGGTAGGTACTTACCTAAACTTTGATTATTTACTAGGTATATATAATATTATGTTCATAAGATGAATAGGATTAGGTACCTACCTTGGAATTTTAACTACAATTATTATATAATACAAATTATACAAGCCCAAACACAAGGTAGTTACTATAAACCGTTGATGAGTTCCCTTAACAATTACAGTTCTTCATCATCAGACCGTCAATGATTAGTCCTACTCCATCTAGGTGTAAAGTTCTCATCAATACAAATCAATCAAGCCCAAACACAAGGTAGTTAATATAAACCGTTGAGGAGTTCCTTTGACTGTCTGTCGGCTCCATCATCAGGTCGACTCCAGACCCTTTTCAAATTGTACATACATACTTACATAACTTCACGCCTGTCTCCCACGGTGGGTTTTTTCATCACCTATCATTACCTGACATTCTGTTATCACCTCATTTCTTTCTATCACCAACACTTTCGTCTTGTTCACATTTACTTTCATACCTTTCCTTTCAAATGCATCATTCATAGCAGTGATCATTTGTTGTAATTCTTGGGCCGACGAGGCAACAAGCACTGGTCGTCGGCATACAACAATGTTTTAATCACTGTGTCATTCATCCTTAATCCAGACTCTCCTACTTTCAGGTCGTTCAAACAGCTGTCCATAAATAGGTTGAACAGCCAAAGAGATGCTACACAGCCTTGCCTAACAACTCGATTAATTTTAAACCACTCTGTGTAGTCCCCATTTATTCAGACAACGGCACTCGAGTCCTTATATAAGGATTTAAGTACCCGAATCAGGTGGCTATCCACCCCATACATGGACAGAGTTGACCACAATTCATCCCTCACCACTCTGTCATAAGCCTTTTCTAGGTCTATAAAGGCACAAAATACCTTTTGGTGCTTTGATAACACTTTCTCTGAAATGAACCGTAACGAAAAGACTTGATCCGTACATTTCTTGATCCCATTCCCTTTCGAAATCCCGCTTGCACATCCCAGATTTTACGCTCAGTTACATCCATCACTCTTTCGATCAATACCTTGGCATACAACTTTCCTACTACGCTTAGGAGGCTTATACCGCGATAATTTTTGCACTCCTGCTGTGATCCTTTTCCTTTATACAGTGGCACAATTACGGCCTTGGCCCAGACTCCAGGGACACGACCGCACCGCCAATACTTATTAAAAATTAGATACACCAGGCTTGCAATTACACCTCCACCCTCTGTTAGCATTTCAGTAGTTATCCTATCACATCCCGCTGCTTTACCTACTTTCAAACTCTTAATGGCACTCACAATTTCATCCATATTTATTTCTCCCACATTAGCACTTTCATTTTCATCGTTTACTTCCTCTTCTTTCAAATCACTCCTTTCAAATAAATTCTCGAAGTATTCCTTCCACTGCTTTAAAACATCCTTACTTTCTTCAATGACACTCATTTATATCCCTTATCGTACTTACTTTCGAGTCCCCCACTTTGCCTCTGGCCTTTCTAACTAAATGCCAGAATAGTTTAGCGTTGGCTCGAAAGTTCCGCGAAAAATTCCTTTCAAACTTTTCCTTGCATTCATTTTTCTTCTTGTTAACTACCGCTTTTGCTCTCTTTTTGAGACTAATGTACTTTTCTATCATACTTTCTAGCACTCTTCTATTTGCCTTTGAGGCTAATAAGTCGAGCCATGCTTTCTTCTTTTGCTCTATCACCTCTTTTACTTCATCATCCCACCATTCATTCCTCTTGCTTCCAGTGTTATTTTTCTTGCTTACCCCACATACTTGAGTAGCTACTGCGATCACTCCATCCTTAAATTCCTTCCAAAATTCTTCTATATTCCTTTCGTAACCTTTCATTAGCTCCCTAAACCTTTCATTTAATAGTTTCCTGTACTGGTCCCTAGCTGCCTCTTCTCTCAACCGTTCAACTCTCACTCTCTCGGTTCCAAGCAACCTTACCCGTGGCCGATGTCTCCACTTCATTGCCAGTCCAGCTATTCTAGTAATTACTAGGAAGTGGTCGCTTCCGACATTCGTGCCACGGTAAACCCTTGTATCCTTCAGTTTTGTCCTCAGGCGTTCATCAACAATCACAAAATCAATCGTACTTCTTTCTGTATGCCTCTGCCATGTATACATATGTATCTTCTTGTGACCAAATGTTGTGTTGGTCACAAAAAGTTCCTTTTCTACACATATATCCAGAAGACATACACCATTCTCGTTCACTCGTTCGTCTCCAAATCGCCCTAATACTCTATCGTACCCATCGCGTGCCACTCCAACCCATCCATTAAAATCTCCAAGCATAATTATTCTTTCATTCTCTTTACATTCATTAAGAACATCTCTCAAGTTATCCCAGAATACTTCCCTCACCCCAATTGGCTTTGAGATGTCCGGGGCATAAGCACAGACGACAAATAATTTGGTCAAGCCAATTTTAAGGCGGATCTAAAGTATCCTGGGACTCACACATTTATACTCTTTCACACATTCATTCATCCTTTCAGATAGTATGACCCCCACGCCCTGGCTGCCTCTCTGGGAACTTGCAACACCAGACCAGTAAGCAATATATTGGCCATGTGTGGTAGTCATACAACCCTTTCTTTTCGTCTCGCTCATCCCTAACAAATCAATCTTTCTTGTATTCATCATCTCACATATTTCTAACATCTTGCCTTCTACGCCTCCACACACATTCAGTGTAGCAAAAAGGCAATCCTCAGCCCGCTTTCTGCCTACTCACGGGGAGACAAAACGTGACGTGTGGCAGAGCACGTCGCCGTTGGGAATTTGCCAAGATACGACGGGGCTGCCTGAGCAATCATGCTCAGGGAGGGATTCTCCAGCGGAGCTGGTACCCTCCTGGGGTAGAGTTTAAAAATCCTAATTGAATAACAATACACATATTACACGCCCCTACAATTTTCGAAAGTTCTCCTCGGTTTTCCTAGGCTTCTATTATCAGATCCTGACCTCAATGAAAAGGACCATCTCGGGAGTATACCCTTTGAATCAAAACAAGAATTCTGGAAATCCGCGCCCGACGAGGTAGAAATAAAAAAACTTTAGGCATTTAACCAATTTTTGACAAAAATGTCGTGAAAATATATACCTATAAGGTAAAAAAAATATTATAACACACTACGTTATAATAAACTATAGTAATGAGCTATAGTGTAATAACATAAAAAGTGTAATAAAATAGTACGCACGCAGCGTCTGTGTGTGAGCGTGTCTACTGGCGTTAGATCGCCGCCGCGTGCCGTACGCGTCGACAACGAGTAGGTAAGATACTAGTACTTAGTACTCGTTACGTGTCAACTAGAAGTATGTTATTATCAGATTACATAAGTAGTAATAAGTACATATACTTACTTATTTCTGTTATTATAAGTTTTCGTGCGTTATTTGACATTGTTAATAATTGTTATCTCAATTCAACTCAGCACACCATAAAATATTATAACGCGAGCCGCATGTGATTGTGTCCAGAGAACAAGCCAAACTAATGCAATGCGATGAAATAGGATAGATGATCTAGCGCGGTCAATATCTCTCTCATACCTTTATTATTCAGGTTAGGATACTGGTACCGAAATATACCGGTTTTCATTTCATACCCAAAAATAGCGGTACCGAAATTAAATTTCTATACCGAAATTAAGCGGTAACCGTTATTTAACGGTATGACGTCATACCGCAATTTAAAGGTATCGTAATTTTTCGGTTATTCAGTCCCTGATTTTAATAACTATGTGGTTACTATTGGTAAACAGTCGCTGAGAGCCCCGCTGCTACTTCACCATGTCGGAGGCAATTCTCATCCTAGGTAATTCTTTGTGGGATTTATCATCCCATAAATCGTAGTTTTAAGCAGTAGGTTACCTATGTTATGATTATCGAGTTTTGAGAGTATTGTTTGTGGCTTATCGAGTTAACGGCTTAGGTGATAATTCTAGAGTTTTATGAAATACACCGAATAGAACATTTGTCCTCGCTACAGCCTACAACCGTAAACGTCTGAAAATTGCATATATTTTGATTGTCTATAATAAACCAAGGTCGAAGGTCATCCGGCTGGCAGTGTTCGCGTTTCATGGCGCTATTTAGCTGACGTTATATTGTACAAGACGGTGCCTGGCACCTGTAGGCGCTCCGCTTACATACTTGAACCACCAAATAACAACAGGGAGCTTCTCTTCTACAAATACTTAGATCTGTTAAGTAAAAGTGTTAGGCACTTACATTGCAGTCCTGTGTGGTCTACTCTTCTCACGGGTGTCGTAGAGCTGACAAAGGTACTGCAGATTTAAAAGAGATCGCAAGGTTGATGCGCTCTAATAAATCTGAACGTCCTAAACTCCGATATGTAACCACCCTGCCAAGGATAGAGAATATGGCAAACCCCTCTTAAGTAGATTGTAGAGGATACATTTTAGGCAAATTTTGAAATAATAATATATTGGTCAATACTTACCTACGTGCAGACTCGTTTTCTGTAAACGCAAAAATGAATAGTAGGAAGTATCTAATATTTTTTTTGATTAAGTAATCGTATCGAAACTTCCGAATAAGTAATCGCATTTCCAACCACTGATCTAATAAAGCAGACAACTAAAGTATTGTGATATTCATGTCTGTACAACTCTTTATCTACTCACGTTCACCTAACAAACCTTCTCGAAGGTCGTCAGTCCGACACGGCAAAGCTTTGTTTACATCGGTGCCATGCGGGTCACCTCGAGGTTGCTTCGTACAGATATACAATATTGAATATCATATGGGGAAGTCATCAGCTAAAAAGTAACACTTACTTTTTCATTATACTGAATTCGATATTTAAATAAAATATAATGTACCTAAAGTATGTTAATTTTTTGTTTGATATAGGGCTAGGTCAGACCGCATCAACGCTCTCAGAAAGCAGTATGACGCATTTCTGGAAGAAGATAAAAAACGAAAGGAAAGAAATGATTTTATTCTTGGAAAGCTCGACAAAATGCGGTATACCACAGCTTTGGTACGACACAAGGTAAGATTTTTATAAACATAAAGTACTAAGGAGTTGTGCATAAAGTCAAAATTATAGGTCAATAGCACAGTATTATTTGCTGTAGTATAGTTTGTAATTAAAGTATCTAAATCTTGAAGTACTTATAACATGAAATAACGCCTTTCCTTCTCTAACGGCAAATGCACTTAACTCTAGAAGAGCATCCAAAAAGAAAATGGCCAAAGAGGAACAAGTGTTCCGTGCCAATCCTGGAGTAAAGAATTTTAAATGCTGTCTTCATAATTATTGTCAATTTTTTACATAGCACTTTCATACTCAGACTTTTATTCATTTGAATTATGACCTTCCACTAGGGATATTATGATATGTTGAATATAGGAATTTTTGACTCATTTCAATTAATATCTGATTTTTCAGCCCAATGCGCTTGAACCTCGTTTTGCCATGATGGATCGTATCGCATATCAGCCAGTTCGAGACCTCCAACCGTCACTAAAAACCCCGAGCCATTTGCTTTTTGATATGCCAGTTAGAAGTACCGAAGATGTTTTAATACAAGAAATAAGTAAGAAATACATACTCATTCCAAAACTGAGAACGACATTCATTAATGATCATAATAACATATGGAATGATACGGCTAGCCAAATCCAAAATCCAGAAAAATTGCCCGATAGACGTCCCACGCAGAACTCAGTCCCTATAAATGATTTAAAACTCAATCCTAACGAAAATACAGACTGGAAGGATAAATATGAAATTCTAAATATACTTAAAAATGAAGAAAAGGAGAAACAATCAGGAAATACTTTCATTGAATTTAAAGAGGGCCCGAAACATTTCGGTCAGACTGAAAGCTTTTTGGAAAACAATCAAGTTCCTAGTAATTACGACAGGGATATAACTGAAGCAATGAAAGTTACAGAAATTCCAGAAAAAGATTTACCTAATGATAAATTGATTTATGGCTTACCGGACACTAGTCAAGTAAGCCATACAGCAAGTACAGTAGAAAATAAAGGAACCACAAATCCCGATCATTTAATGGCTATTGACGATAAATTTAAATCGATTTTATTAGATGACGAACCCGAAGTCAAAAACACTGATGTGCCAGAAGAAAATACAGATGATTATGAACGACAGAATGTGCCTAATTTAAATATGAGCCCAAAATATGAACCTCAAAAAGTAAATATAACTCAAAACTATGAACCACAGAATGCAACTAATTTAAGTATGACTCAAAACTATGAACCACAGGATGCGACTAATTTGAGTATGAGCCAAAACTATGAACCACCGGATGCAACTAATTTGAGTATGGGCCAAAACTATGAACCACAGGATGCAACTAGTTTGAGTATGGGCCAAAACTATGAACCACATGATGCAACTAATTTGAGTATGAGTCAAAACTATGAACCACAACATGCTACTAATTTGAGTATGAGCCAATATGAACTACAGGTTGAGTCTAATGTAAATATAAGTCCGGCAATGATTAATGATGAGGGAAATCATCTCACTGAGGAAAATGCTTACTATCAAGAAGAGTACTCCGTTGAAGGAGATTCCAGCAATTTACAAAATAATAGTTTATCTGCCGTACAACATGAGCCATCATATTCAGGAGCTATGGTTTATGAAGACAGCAATGATGTCGGTCCGACGACAATTTTAGACCATAATATACCAGAGACATTGGACGTGACAAATGATCAAATTACTGGTGTTAATTATAATGAACCTGTGAATCTACAACCAGAACACGCCTCTCAACCGCCAGAACATGCACACCAAGAACCAGAACCCGCCAAAGAAGAACTTGAACCAAGTAAAGAACAACCCACCAATTTTACTGACATGACAGAATCCATACAAGAATTTGATAGTGAACAAAGAGGAATGTTCTTTCCAGAATCTGTTGAAGATTATCCTAGTCAACAAGGTGATGGAACAACTGCTTTAGGATTTGCTTCAAACGAATACGCGCAGAACGAAGCATATAATTATTATGAAAACACTCAACCTGAGGCATATCCCGTTGAGCTAACTGATGATGAAATTACACAACGATACGATCCACATTATGAACAACAATATGCAGGTGTAGAAGAGAGCGTAGAAGGACAGGAATATCAACAATATCAACAGCCTGAGGTTGTTGAACAACCTGAACCACATGTAGACATGATGCAATATGACCAACAATTTGTAAATCAGGGAATGATTGAACAAGATTTGGATGTCGAAGATAGTTATGCAACACAGCAGAATGACTTTGTTGTACAACCTGAAGCTGAAACGGTTCAAGTTAATGAATTTGTCAACGAAGAGCCCGTAAAGATATCTGAACCTGTTAGGACATAAAACCGAATATCATACTGTTACACCTATTTACTTTGCGACATATTTCTGTTATTAATTTGTAAATTAACTATTTGGAAATGAAATGAAAATTTTACAATATAGCTTTATGCTTAGGCAAGTATACGTAATATTTTGCTTTACTTAGATCAGGGCTGTTCAAACTATATACCCTCGCGAACTAATTAAATTTATTACAAAAGCTGGAGGGCCAGAAAAATATTTTCAGTTGTATAATGACGCTTAACATTGTATTCTTTACTCACATACGAAACTTGCATACAAATCATACACTGAATTTTATTATTGTTGTTGCACATAAGATGATGATTTTGAGATTAAAATGTGTGTCTGCGGCCCGCGGGCCTTTGTTTGGACAGCCCTGACTTAGATCGTTATAATAATATACATAATAGTTTATGATAGATCAGACTTCGTCACATGTAATGAGAATTTTTTGGTGGCTACGCTACTTCTTACACGCAGTTGCGTAGCGTGTCTTGGCGGGGCCCCGTATCAAATTTTTTTATGAAGCATTTAGATTTTAGAAAAAAAAAATTGTTTACTTAAAGTACTAATATTGTGTAAAAATTGGAAAATTTTCCAGGCGCCTGCCCAAATTATCAAACTATGTGAAACAAGTGAATTTATTTCTGCAAATAGGCTACAAAGCAGCACTTTTACACGTCAATTTTATCAAGCGAACGATGAGGTCGACATTTCCTAACTGACTACTCTGAGAAGAAATGCCGAAACAAACTCAGAGGTCTGTCTCTTTTAAAGTCCAGACAATATGTATAAAAGATTATGTGTGAGAACCGTGCAAGTTCTTTCTGTAGTGGCCTTTTGAGGAAAGAACCACAACAGTTTGAGCGGACCCGTTCTGAAGGCAGTACGCATGTGTCGGTTTACAGTCGACTCAATTAACAGGTGAGGCTGACTGATTCGACGAACAATACCAACCTAAAGAACATTTGCGTGGGTCGCACAAATACTCAAACTGTCAGAATATGGGTAATTAGAAAAGAAATGGTGAGGCAAAGTCTCGCACGGTCCTAGCACTAACAATTGTAAAGGAAAAAGCAAATGTCAAGTTAGAACAATGTATGAAAAACAATGTCAAGAAATGTAACTATATGTTACAAACATGTCAACATGACCCGTGTGGACGTTACAGCAGCTTATTCCCAAGCCAGACTATCATCTAGGTAGTCTTTAATTTTATAAAAAGCTTTACTATAAAATTTATCTTTAATGGCATTTTTAAATTTATTTAGACTCAGATTTTGGATATGGCTGGGAATTTTATTGTAAAAGCGTATACTCTGACATCTAAACGAACCACTTATTTTCTTTAGTCTAGTAGTGGGAACAACATATTTGTCTTTATTTCTCGTGTTGATATTATGTATATCACTATGCTTTTTAAATAAATTTTTGTTTTTATGAGCATATACTACATTTTCATAAATGTATTGAGAGGCAACGGTCATTATATTAATTTCTTTAAATAGTTCCCTGAGAGAGTACCTCGGACTAAGATTATAAATTGATCGAATGGCCCTCTTCTGCAGAACAAAGATAGATTGAATGTCAGCAGCATTCCCCCATAGGAGAATACCATATGACATGACACTATGAAAATAACTAAAGTGTACTAATCGCGCTGTATCTACATCGGTTAACTTTCTAATTTTTTTAACGGCATATGCTGCAGAACTGAGCCTTTTCGATAACTTATCTATATGTGGAGCCCACTGGAGCTTAGCGTCTAGGGTTATACCTAAAAAGACAGCAGAATCTACAGGGCTTATCTCCTCTCCCTTAATGAGCACGCTGGTTTTAACATGTCCAACATTTGGTGTTGTAAATTTAATGCATTTATTATATGATTAGGTACTTAGCTTTTCTAAAGTTTTTGCCAGCTTTTGAATATAATTGCCTTTCGCGGGAAAGAAACGTTTTTAAACGTACGTGATTACTGGAATAAAATTATAATAGGACTTTTTCGTTAATTTTCGCGATACCGCAGATACGACACTAGCTACGCCACTGATTACGTACTAATAGTAACTGATTCTAGATATTTAAAATTATTATAGGTAGAGCTAAGGCAATTATTGTTTTCATTATAGATCGAGCATTTACGTGTTCAATCGTTTTATTTCTATCGTAGTCTATTAAAAACTGTCGACTGAATGTGACGCCTTGCATTTTGCAATAATATAATACTTTTAGAGTCGGCAATATACCTACAGTACAATGAAAAGCTGCAGTCATGATCGTGGTAGGATGTTCTACTCACATTCACATGTCAGTTTCTACAACGCGGCTAGGTTAATATTTGACTAGTAATATTCAGGAGTTATCACCTTCAATAGATCACATTATTGATTTTAAAATAAAGCCTAGTTTCTGAATTATATCTGCTTATTAGAGCTTGTTTCGAGTAAACTAGTGTTGATAAGTTACTGCTAAATTAATTGTAACTCTGTATTTGTAATTAAATACTTCTTGCATTTTGTTACTAGTTATATTTCAATTATACTCTTTTATGTCCAGAGTTAGAGCAATGACTTGCTAATATAACTTTTGATGTATTTTACTACAAGATAGGTATCAAATATTTTCTTACAAAATCTACTGTTTTAGATTCTGCTTAAACCTAAAGGTGTATTTTCTTTGTAAACTGAATTGGCCTTGTATGTCTATGCATGTATGTGTTTTTAAATTACTTTATTTTATTGTCACTCCCAAATTTTCAATACACAATAAAATGAATACTTTAAAACTTTGTCATTTATTTTTTTAACTAACAGAACATGATTCTTCATAACATTTATAGGTTTCCTTAGAGGATTTTGATGGACCCCCTTCTAGCTTGTTGCATAATAATTATGAATATTTGTTCAGATAAATAGTAAAAAAAATGCAACTATACAAGTAAAATTAAATTTCATCTACATTTATTTTAATCATATACTTGTTATTGGGGCAAAGGAATTTTCTCCAGTTCTGCGGCTTGTTCAGGGAATAGTGCTTCCTTAGGTTTCTTCCAATGGAACTCCTCCCATGGTAGCCTCTCCATTCCAGTGGCCCAATGATGAATCCTACATCTTACATTTACTTTTTCTGTATTATTGATCTAAAACAACAACGAAATAGATTAGAAAATGTAGTATCAAAAAATTATTATGTACAGATTTCTGGGTGACATATAAAACAGCAAATAGTATTCATAAACAAAGCATAGGGTAGGGTAGGGTCTACTAGTAAATTAGATTTTATTTTTAAAGTAGAAAACTGAAATTTAAATTTATATTTTTGTACCTATGTTGACCAGTGTTATTATGAATAAAAATTTTATTTATTATTATTTATTAAATATAATATAATGAAAACAAACTAACCGTTACAGTCACATAAAATTCCTTATCCTGTAAGCTTAGGTCAGGTCCCTTGATTTGAGCAGGGGGCATCTCAATAACATGTTCAGGGACCATAAAACCAGACTTTCTGAAAGAAGTACTGATGTGCCAAGGCTCCAAAACCCAGGGTTCTATTTTGCTCATTGTAATTTGTAATACCACACGAGACAAACAGCCAACAGTCTGAAATTTTAAAATTTATTAATATATGGGTAACTGGCCTGTAAGAAGGTGTATTTTCAAGTCAGCCTGATACACTACACAGTCAACCAAATGTCAAACCATTCAAATAGTAAAATGTCATTTTCTTTGTGATGGCTTACCCGGTGCACATAAGGTGAACTGTAATTACTTTCACTAGTAGACTTCTCTTCGTTAGCATTGTACTTTTCTACATTCTGTGGGCTGGCATAAACAGCTAATCCAGGCACCAGATACTCATTGTAGGCTTGGTGAGGTCGGAGTGTTAGAACTTGACCTTTATTCCCAACACCTAAAATCAAAATTGGAAAGCAAAACTTATGATTTATTCATATTGAGTATTAAATCAGTTTGTTCAAGTTAACTATTGGAGAATGCTACAACTTTTTGGTTGGATGGGATCGATGTTTTTTTTTTTTTTTTTAAGGGGGGAAAATCATCGAATGACTGCTCCCGCCTGGGTGAGGCGGAAGGGAGTGTCAGACTCTTACTGACTAAAAACCACCCCGTTCCTTCTCCTGCACGTCGAGCCGGAGCCCCGGTTACCCGTTAGGTTCTCCGCGACTCCGAATCGGCATCGGCCCTATTGGGCCCCATCTGTGGTGGTCTGATGGCTCTTTGAGGCGCGCGCGGAACGCGACGCGCCGTACGGGATCAATGTTTAGCTTCAGATTAAGAGACAAATAAATTAAATATATGCATTGGATATTAAACATACCATCGATGAACTGGTTAAGGATTACTTTTACATCAGGTTTTCTCTTCACATTTGTATCTTCAACAAGGTCGTATACAAAATGCCGTCCTTTCAGTTTTATCGGCTGCCCACCCTTCTTATGCAGAGGCACTGCTGTTTTTCTTTTAAGAATAAATGTGTTCTGTAGAAAAGAGAGATCTACTTATTTGTCAAACTTCGTAGGAAAGTCATAGATTTATCTTAGTGCTCGGAGATTGTTATTTGCTTAATATTTTGATATACAACACTTGAATTCAAAATAAACATTGTTATTGCACAAAAAGATTTAGGATGCCCGAAACAAAGTTTATTAAAAATTAATGTGTTTATAACAATTTTCAATAATGGACAAACATACAGTAAATTATTGTTGCTGTAATGTATGCGTAGGATCTTTCTAATTTAGTAAGTTTAAACAAAAATCGAGTTCAGATTCAAAATATATTTTAAGTTGAAATGTGGCTTACTCTTGTTTGTTGATGATTTATATTACATCCTGAAGTAATGGCATTATGAACTAACGAACGTAACCCAAACATATTTAAACCCCCTATGTAAACAATTGCCCAACTAATAGGAATACTATTTGTAAGATTTGAATAACTATATTTTGACAATTTACTTTTCTAGGTTATAATAACTTTTTTTGCTGCCAGATATTCGGATACAAGTCTTTTGAATATTAAATCAAGTTCATATGAATTAAAAGTCTATGGTCTATATCCGAAAAAAAATTTAAAGAAAGCATAGAGTGGCCTATTATTAATTAGGTATAAGACATAGATTATGTTATTATCATATCAGTGGTTTAGGTTCAGGAGAGTGGTGGATTTATTGTGAAATTATTCAATCAGTCAACGTCTGATTCATCAATCAATCAATGAAATTGATTGATTGATGAATGGTTCAGCTGGCGGCCTCGACGGCTTGACACCACAACATCTGAAAGATCTCGTGTGTTCGAGCGCCGGGGAGGCTGGTGAGTCCCTTTTGAAGGAGTTGACGGCCTTAATCAATCTAATGCTCTCCGGCAATGTGAACGAATCCGTCATCGATGTCTTATACGGGGCTAACTTATGTGCTCTGCGTAAGAAGGATGGCGGTATTCGTCCCATTGCTGTAGGTTGTACATACAGGCGTATCGCAGCCAAAATTTGCTGCGCCTATTACAATGAGTCTTTGGCCAGCAAATTCCAGCCCTCACAACTAGGCTTTGGTTGCAAAGGGGGCTGCGAGGCTGCGGTACATGCCCTATCCACATTTTTAAACAGTAACCAAGGTGAGGTCGTCTTAAAGGTTGACATTAAAAACGCCTTTAACTCCGTAAGCAGGGACGCCTTGTTGACTGAAATTCTAAAAGAAATCCCCAAAATTTACAGTTTTCTTTGGCAATGTTATAGAAACCCTTCAAAATTACTGTATAAGGACAATTTAATAGAATCGGCTGTTGGTTGTCAACAAGGAGACCCCCTTGGGCCTGCCATTTTTAGTTTAGCTATAAATCCTATTATTCGTGAACTAAATTCCAAATTTAATGTATGGTATTTAGACGACGGAACTCTAGGAGGTGACGTTGACATTGTTTTAAAAGATTTGACTATATTAAAAGAAAAACTGAGTTCTATTGGCCTTGACCTAAATTTATCAAAATGTGAACTATACATTCCTGACTCTACAGACAGACTAACGACTCTAGCAAAATTTAATCAAATAGCTCCAAATATCAAAATTATTGATAAGTACTCACTTCACCTCCTAGGTTCACCAATATTCGATGAATGTTTTCCTAAATTCATCGAGGACAAGATACAAAATTTCAATCACATTTCGGATAGATTACACAAAATCAACACACATTCGGCTTTCACCCTAATTCGGTACTGTTGTTTTGGACCAAAATTTACTTATATTCTCCGCGCTTCACATCTATGGAAACATTCACACATTTTAGAAAACGTAGACAAAATTATCAGACACACATTGTCATCCATACTTAATGTGGCTTTGGATGACCGAGCTTGGCAACAAGCTACTCTTCCTATTCGCATGGGAGGGCTCGGCGTCCGCAAAATTTCAAGTATTAGTTTACCAGCTTTTCTGTCTTCGGTCCACAGTACCTCTGAATTGGTCAGGAAAATTCTTTCTTCGTCACTGACCAGTTTTGAGGTGCCGTGTTTGACTGATGCAGTGGAAGCGTGGAAAATGGCTTGCCCACTTACGGATTTACCTGTTCATCCATCTTCTCAGAGACAGTGGGACGTGCCGCTGTGCAGTGTTATTCGTGAGTCTTTAATCAACTCGTCTCCTAATACTGCAGAGCGAGCTCGCTTATTGGCTGTGGGAGAATGGGAATCAGGATTGTGGCTTCAGGCACTCCCGTCACCCTTCATAGGTACTATGTTGGATGACATAACGTTCCGCCTAGCTGTATGCCTACGTTTAGGTGCTCCTTGTGTTTCTCCGCATTATTGTCACTGTGGAGAAAGAGTCGATGGCTTGGGACACCATGGTCTTTCTTGTTGCAGAAGTGCAGGCCGCATAGCTCGCCATGCCAGCATCAACGACATCATTCGTCGTGCTCTTGCCTCAGCCGGTGTACCAGCCGTATTAGAACCTAATGGTTTGGTACGTGATGACGGCAAAAGACCAGATGGTATGTCGTTGCTGCCTTGGAAGATGGGTAGGCCTTTGGTGTGGGACGCGACTTGTGTAGACACCCTTGCGCCATCACATCTTTTAAGCACCGCTGCATGCGTTGGTGCGGCTGCTTCCGCGGCAGAGGCCCTCAAACGGCGTAAATATTCAAATCTAGTGGGTAACTACTGTTTTGAGCCGTTTGGGGTCGAAACACTTGGGCCATGGGGTCCCAGTGCACACTCTGTGTTTAAAGACATCGCCCGTAGGCTAATCGACTCTACACGTGACCAGAGGGCTGGCTTTTTCTTCGGACAGAAAATAAGCATTGCCATTCAACGTGGCAATGCTGCCAGTCTTCTGGGAACTTTCCCCTGTGATAGTGATGCGGACGAATACTTTGACGCCTAAATTAAGGGTATAATTTTTGTTGTTTTCTTTTACTTTCTTTTTTATTTAATAGTTTAGTTGTAGTTAATTTTAAGTTGTAAATATTTATGTAGTTATATAAATTATGATATTTAAAAAAAAAATTAGTAAATAGATTAATATAAATTATTATCAATGAAAAGATGACTTAATATAGACTTATCTAATAATTTGATTCAATATAAATACACCATAACGACACGACAATAGGTATATAGTGTTTGAAATTAACAATATCATACACACTAGAAATAACTTAAATTACAACCATAGACAAATAGAGGTACCATAGACTACAACAACACTTGTAATACCAAAGACATAATTTGTACTCTGAGTGAGAGTGAAACAAACTTGGTTTGATTTGCTTTGATTAGTTTGATTTGTGAATAGTGGATTCGATTGAAGATTTGTGTTGAAGGTGCATTCAATTTGATTGATCCAAGATTTATTTAAGTATTGTGTTTAGTGAACTTTTTCATTACAATGGATGACGAAACGAGCTCAGATTTACAGGTAACTATGATATAGTTGTCCACCATAACATGAGGTTATAAAAAATACCACCGAAGTCGATGTTTTCGATAGTTACGACTGTAGTAAAAGTGATGTTATTCTTTCTTTTAGAAGTGTTTATCCGATGGACCTATGGATACGGATGAAGGCCCCCTAATAAACGAAAATTCAAATGGACTATCGCATTTATTGACTGAGGGCGAGTTCAGCAGTGTCGAGGCGGCGGTGGACGAGTCATCAACATCAAATCAAGGTTTCCTCAATGCGGTGGAGCTGTCTGCGGGTAGCGTTGGCGACTACCTGGACAACAACACAGACGGGTTCAACACACATCCTTTCGATGTGGGCGATAACGCGGTCACATTCCCCAGCGACTCGCTCAATAACGTGCTCACCGACGGCGACTCACTACTTAGTGATACAGCGTTTAAGACTCACTCTGATACTGATGGTGATGTTACAGAAAGTCAGAAGGCGACGGTGGATACTGACTTTGAGGTCAGTCAAATATCTGATGCTGGCAATTCAATGCCAGCTGATGACCTAACACAAACAAAAACAGATGACAGCAGCAACGCTAGTCTAGCAGAGGTGAAGCCAGAATCTAAGGCAGAGGATGAGGCTGGCCAAACTGGTGATTCTGATACTACTCCTGCCGTCAAAAGTGAACTACCAGCTGTGGAATCTGATGAGGTATGTGGATAATGTAGTTGTATGCAATTATGCTCATGTTTTATTGTTTGGATTGCTAACAAACTTACTAAATACAAAACAAATAAATAAATTTCTACATCATCAAAATCGCAATTGCTCAAAATGAGTTGATACTGTAGAAATTTATTTTAGTACAGATGAAAGTTTAACTTTTACTTTCTCCCTATAAAAAGAGGCCTCTTCTTAATAATGGGTACTTAAACTGACAAACACCATGAGGACACCGGTGACCGCAACCTATTGTTCTTTAATTGTGTCTATAATGATGGTACTCAACAAGTTAAAGGTTGTTAATGTGACTAAATTAACAACAATTTTACAAAATTGTTTCTTTTTCTAGCCATATCACATTATATTATGCATCTAAAATAGTTATTTCCTTGTACCTTTTAAAAATACAAAAATTATTAAACCAAAATGTTACTTTACATAATTAGATAATCATAATCAAATACATTATCCTAATTAGGTATTCCTAATCCAATGACTTTTGTTAGATCAATAACATAACATGTTAGTATAAAAGTAGAAAAAAAAAAATTGCGGCAAAACAACGAAAGTTTTTGTATAACAATTTTCATGACTTTAAATAAAAATGAGATATAGCTGTTCTATATTAATATTAAAATTTATAATAATGTACTATAGATATTTGGAAGATTACAATAATATCTTATCTTTATAGCAGATAAGATTTTATTTGATTTATATCTTTTATTATCTTTTTCTAGCTGGCCAAAGCAAAAGATGAACCAGATTCAGCTGAAGATGTAGCCACTAAGGTATTATTAAAACTTTAGTACTTTAAATAGTGTCTTAACACGGGATCATACATATTATATCTAATCAATGTATTTTTGTCCTTTCAGATTGATGATGCAACTGAAAAAACTGAACCAGTTTTAAAGTCTGAAAGTGCTACACCTACAAAGAAATCAAGCAAGGTAAATTATTGTGTACCTCTTTGTTATTAATATTTTACTTATTGCTCTAGTGTAAATGCCTGAATATAGTTATTTCATCTTTAATTGATCCTAGAATCTTGATATACTTACTAAACATGAAGTATAATTTAGGTTTTTCACTCTTTGAATCACTTTGTTATGCAAACAATGTAGGCTTATCTGTAACTTGAGATTAAATATTGTACTTTCCTGAAATTGTACAATGCACCATTTGTAAGTTCCCATAGTTGTGGTTGTTAACTTTTCTTGCCAAATAATCCTAGATAATGATGGGAAATAAGATAACCAATTTCATCAGTTCATTAGCAGATTGAAATTAGAAATCACTAGCTAAACAGTTGTAATACATTTAGATAACAGCTTATAAATAGAGTCCATCTTGATTCTTTATAGAATAGATTGCATTTTACTG